CCTCAAATAAACCCCCACGACCGCGATGGGCCCCCACTGCACGGCTACGTGCCGTTCCCCACTTTCGATGGGGGTCGTGCTGGGCCCTCCCGGCACCGACCGCCATCGGATCGCGACCGAGTCCCCCGCCTGCCCAACAGCCCAATATGGGCTGCTTCTTGGGGGGCGGTGGGGCTCGGCTACGATCGCCAACGTGAACCCCCTCTCCACCATGCTCTGCTGGAGCAGATCCTGAGCATGTGGAGAGTGGTTCACGTTGGCCTGCAACAGGCCAAATCCCTTCAGATTCGTACGGGGGGGGGAGCGAGGCATTACTCAGCCTTATCATCCCCCCCGTCCGATGGGGCCTCTGCCTCCGTGGCCTCTGTGCTGGAGGCCTTCTCCTTTCGCGCCTTCTGGCGCTGCGGCTGGGGCCTCTCGCCCGTTTCGCCGCTCCCCGTCTCCTCCCCGTCCTCCATCGGCCGGACTTCGGCCGGGGGGGACCTCGGCTGCAGGCGCCTGCTCCAATAAGCGCCGCCCCGGTGGCCTCCCACGCACGTTCCGCTGGACGCAAGACTTTGCGCCCAGCACGTGCGTCGCCGGCCTGCCCTTTTCCGCACAAAGCGGCCACTTGGGGCAGACCGGCAGTCGCGGGAGGTGTGACCGGCTTCACCGCACCGGTAACACCTCCCGCTCCTGTCAACCGCACTGGGGCAGGTTGACCTCACGTGGCCCCTCTCGAGGCATCTATGACAATGCATAGGACGTGCCTCGAGAAGGGCCACTCTGGCCGTCGCCCAGCCAGTCCGGATCCTTCCCATTTGGGAGATCTCCCTCGCCGCGATGAGAGGTAGGCGGGCCTATGGGCTATATTGGCCTCCGGCGGCCGGCTGCAGCGCTCCGCATTGGATGTCGGAGACGCTGCACCGCGCCGCACTGGCCACCCACCCCTTCACCTCTTCGACGCCAAGAGAGTCGTCGAGGTCTCGCAGGTGGACCTCGGCCATCCTTCTCGGCCTGTCCACCCGCGTCCCATCCTCGCCAGGGAGAACCCGCCTGATATGCTCAGCGAGCAAATCAGCCTTATCGGCGTGGCCCTCCCCGGACACCTCGATGACCTTGGCACCGGTGGCTCCAGATCTTATATTGATCTGGCCCCCGATGCCAAGGTCCTCCAGCTTAATTTCTTGCCATAGTTTGGCAAGAGTCTCGCGATATTCGCCGTCGGACCGCGTAACTACGACGGCCGACGTACGCGGGAGTCGTCGCCTGGGGGCCTTTTTGGGCGCCCCCCCCCCCAGTTTGCCCCTTTGCCGAGGCCCCGGGGGTAGCCGCCTTGGAGGCTCCACCTGCTGCCTTCCTCCCCGCGGCCCTGCTTTTCCTCCCAACTACCGCTGCGAAGGTCTCAGCCCCCGCGGCGGGCTGGGAGGACTTGGCGTCCCGCCTTTGGGGGACCCTTACCTCCTCCTCC